TAAAAATGGGTTCTAATAATAAAATAGCATGGGCATGATGATTCATTCTGTTAAAAACCAGATTACCAGTTGTATATTTAGTATACTGAGTTTCTATAATTTTAGCCTAAAGCTCAGGAAGTTTTCTTTGATTTTCATCTTAAATTAAATCCTGGCATATATAATTTTTACTTAGATGTTTTGAAATACTAGTGAAAACATTGTGTCTGAGAAAGCACATTAATAATTGTTAGTTCACAATCTAAGATTAAAATTAAAAAATACTTTCAAATGTTCTTATATTAATCAAATTTATACTTATTTCATCCATTTATTCTTCCTTTTTCTTGTTTCTAAAGTATTTCAGTTAGACTTTTGATGAATTAGAAAAATATTTGTGCTAGGTTAAATCTATAAACTATGGGAGATAATTTATAATCAAAACTATCTTTATATTTTCCCCTTTTTGTTTTATTTCACCTGTTTGAAAAACTCTAGTGTTCTCTTGTTCTGATCATACAATTGAAATTTATTTAAGTGAACACAATTTGATCATCACCTTTTATTTAAATCCCTGATAATTCACATTATGTATTTTTTAAAATTTTATATTTCATTTATTTGTTTGTTTGTTTTTGGTATTGAGGATTGAACTTAGGGGCGCACAACCACTGAGACACATCCCCAGCCCTATTTTGTATTTTATTTAGAGACAGGGTCTCACTGAGTTGCTTAGCACCTCGATGCTGCTGAGGCTGGCTGTGAACTTGCAATCCACCTGCCTCAGCCTCCCCAGCTGCWGGGATTACAGGCGTGCATCACCATGCCCAGCTTTTATATGCCCTTTTTAGATATACATTGACAGTAGAGAGTATTTGACATAGTATAATTTTTCATTCTTGTGCTTGTTTATTCATGTATGAACATAGGAAAGTTATATCTGATTCATTACATTGGTTGTGTATTCATGTATGAACATAGGAAAGTTATGTCTGATTCATTCTACTGTCTTTCCTATTTCCATCACCCTCCTTCATTTCCCTTTGTCTAATCCAATGAACTTCGACCTCCCCCTTTCTGCCTCCCATTGTGTCCACGGATCAGAGAGAACATTAGGTCTTTGGTATTCTGGGACTGGCTTTTTTCTCTTAGCATGATAGTTTCCAGTTCCTTCTGTTTATCAGCAAATGCCATCCTTTATCACTGAGTTATAGTTCATTTTCTTTATCCATTCATWTTTTGAAAGGCACCTAGGTTGGTTCCATAGCTTAGCTGCTATAAACATTTATGAGGCAGTGTCACTATAGTAAGCTGATTTTAAGTCCTTTTGGTACATTCCAAGGAGTAGGTTAACTTAATCAAATGKTGGTTCTATTCCAAGTTTTCTGAGGAATCTCTGTACTGCTTTCCAGACTGGTCGTACCAATTTGTATTCCCACCAGCAATGTGTGTATAATTTCCCCTGCATCCTCGCCAGCATTTATCGTTTTACCCTTATTTATTATCTGAACCTATCTTCAGCAAAATGCACAGGCTTCTTAGCTCTAGTACTTCTTCACTCTTCTACCTTTGCCTTCTATTAGGTCAACCTGAAAATAACAGGTGGTTTTAAAACTCTGTACTTTTAGGGTTTTTGTTTGTTTACAGTGCAGTTATTGCATTCTTCTAAGTTGGTCTCCCTAGAAGGCTATCATTTATTTATCCTTCTGCATTCAACTCAAGTGTCAATCACTATATAAGGAAAGGGAGGTATACATATTTTCACTTAGGTATACATGTTTAGGAAAATATCATACTTGCTTGTTTCTTGTTCACTTGAGTGCTTATTTTGGAAGCATGATATTTGTTCAAAGTTAAATTTATGRATTAGGATTTTGTGAATTTTGATAATAGTAATTGAGTTTTCCACCAAATTTCTTCTTATTTGCAGACATAATGAAGCCTTCCTTCAAAAGATTTTCTTTTGGGGGTGAAGGTTACAGGGTATTTGAATCCAGGGGCACTTAGTCACTGAGCCACATCCCCAGCCCTTTTTATTTTTAAATTTTTATTTCATTTATTTTTTGGTACCAAGAATTGAACCAAGGGATGTTTAACCACCAAGCCACATCCCAAACCCCTTTTTATTTTTTTAATATTTAAAAACAGGTTCTCACTAAGTTGCTTAGGGTCTCCCTAGGTTGCTGAGGCTGCCTTTGAACTTGTGATCTTTCTGCCTCAGCCTCCTGAATCACTAGGATTATAGGTATGTGCCACTACACTCAGCTTCAAAAGGTCTTTCTTCTTCACAGTGATAGTGGTTTTTTTTTTTTAAGAGAGAGAGAGAATTTTAATATTTATTTATTTTTTAGTTTTCGGCGCACACAACATCTTTGTTTGTATGCGGTGCTGAGGATCGAACCCGGGCCGCACGCATGCCAGGCGAGYGCRCTACYRCTTGAGCCACATCYCCAGCCCGTAATAGTGTTTTTTAAGTCAAAAGGATTAGCATGGAATTTTGATACTTGTACTTTATTTGTATAGATTTAGCATAGTAAAACATTTCTTATTGGCCATAAAGAAATCGTTGTATATGGAATAAATCAAATGCTGGTCTTCATTGAAAGAACCAATTCTCATGGGTACCCTATCCAAAAATAGGACAGCTTTAAAGTGGAATGCGTGCACATGTGTTTGGGGTGCTGGGGATTGAACCTAGAATCTTTAGCATGCTAGGCAAGCCCCTTAACCACTGATGTATACCCACATCCCAGCCCTTTTTTTAAAATTATGAGATAGGGTCTTGCTAAGTTGTCCAGGCTGAACTTGTGATCCTCCTGCTTTAGCCTCCTGAGCTGGTGAGCTTACAAGCATGTATCACCATGCCCTGCTAAAAGTCTTCTAAATTAAAAAACCACATGTATAATGGGGGCTGTTTAATTAATATCTTAGATTTTAATATGCACAATCTTACAAACAGTTTGATTGCTTAAAAATAGTCATACTGCCCAGATGTGGTGGTACATACCTATAATTCAAGGGACTTGGGAGGATAAGACAGGAGGATTCAAAGTTTGAGGCCAACCTCAGCAATTTAGTGAGGCCCTGTCTCAAAATAAAAAATAAAAATGATTGGGAATGTAGTTAAGCACCCCTGGGTTTTATCTGTGGTACCTGTATAAATAAAAGATAAATAGTTAATTAATAAATAGATAAATAGTTAAACTGGCTGTGCTCTGGGTTAAACCAGGGCCTTATTCATATCAGGTAAGCTCTCTACCACTGAGTCACATCCTTAGCCCCTGGCAAATTTTAATATATGTATTTTACCACAGTAAAATTTTTCTTTAAATCAGCACACAAAATAAAAACCTGATCAACAATTTATTATAACACAGATCTGCATATTGCGCTACACTTTTTCTTACTGCCCTCCATTCTTAACCTAGTAAACTTCCCTTTATGTTAATTTTATAGCATTTCCGCATATCTACCTGAGATAAAGACATCTAAGTGTTCCTAGGCTTTTTATTTGCATGTCTATTCCTGCCTTTACTTTTGTGATACCAGTGTCTTAAAGGATGATTACATTTTTGTCAGTATCTTAGATGCCTCATTCCTTGTGACTTTTCMTTGACTTTGCTTTAACTAGGCATTGAATTTTTCAATTCTAACTATGGGCCTTGCCATAGCCACCTCCCAGATCAACATTGCTTTTGATCTTTTACAGAGTCATTTGTTCCTGCTTGTTTGGTTATATCAACCAGTAATAGTACTCTGTTCCATCATCTGAATGGTCTATCACCTATCTTGGAGTTTTAACTGGTCTTTCAYTTCCAGAGGCAGACTGTAAATGACCTGGTATACCATGGTACCTTCCTTTCTTTCTTCATTAATTTGTACCCCGCCCCCATCCCGTCCCTCTGTTCCTTCCTTCCTTCCTTATTGAACCCAAGAGCACTTTGCCATCAAGCTAAGTCTGCAGCCCTTTTTATTTTTTGTTTTGAGACAGGGTCTTGTTGAGCTGCTTAGGGCCTCACTAAGTTGCAGAGGCTGGCCTCAAACTTGCAATTCTCCTGCCTCAGCCTCCCAAGTCACTGAATTAGATGTGTGCATCACCATGCTTAGCTGCCTCTGGATTTTTTTTTTAAATCAGTTACTGCTTTATCTTCTGTCCTTTGCATATTCCTTTGACCATCTTAATGTCTTTATAATATATTAACTGTGCCAACAGAGGTTTCTGTTCTGACATCTCTGTGAAGTTTTCCTTGCTGTTGAGGCTGATTTAGTTAGTAGATTCTTGTTTTAGATTATAATATACACCACCATTATAGCTCTTGTCACAGTGTGGTATCAGCTCATATTTGTGCCTATATATTAACTATACTATGAGCCAGATGAATCTTTTCTACTCATGTAGAAATCACATAGATAAACTACAAAAAGGAAAGAAAACTATTATTTTAGCTTTCTAGTAATGACTAACCAGTAAAGTCTATACTTCCTTCACTAGAAAATTCTAACATATACTAAATCAAGTTGACAGAGTTGAAATTAAACTGGTATTGGTTATATTTTAAAAAAATACGTTTTTAGTTGTTGATGGGCCTTTTTTTTATTTATCTGAGGTGYTGAGAATCAAAACCCAGTGCCTCACATATGTGAGGCAAGCACTCCTAAGCTACAACCCCAKCCCAATATTTTTAATTGATATAATCATTTTGAAAAGTTTGACAAGGCATCTCGAATTCAAAAATTATTTCAAGTATGATTATAAAGACAAGATAAAGAATAAAATTCATCAATCAAAATTTTAACAGAAAACATTATTTCAGTCTTTTTTTTTTCTTTAATAATAGCTGTCTATGATTAGAAGAAAAGGAATTTCTATTTAAAAGTTGCCTTTGAATTAATACACAAGTGACTAGCATGTGGAGTTGATTATTTATGTAAGGTTTCAAGGTTGACTTAAGTTATTCTTCTTTATATCCCGATTTCAATTTTAAATTTTATATTTTAAATGTTTTTGTTTTTATTTAAAGGTATCAGTTTTTGGAAGAAGCTTTTCAAAATCAGAAAGGTGCAATTGAAAACCTATTGGCTAAGCTTCTTGAGAAGAAGAATTATGTTCATTTTGCAGCTACTCAGGTGCAGAATAGGTAAGTGTATTGCCTTAAAAGCATAATTTCATATTAAGAATTATCAAAGAGGAGTAAATCCACTTAAAAATGTTTATTTACTTATTAAACATATACAGAAAACCTAATTTTTAAAAAATAATGATGTAATTTGAGTTTGGGTTTATAGTATTTGTTAAGCAAAATTTAATTGACTAGAAAATTTTTATACTCTTAGCATATGTGTTTGACTATTTTATAATTAAAAAGATTAGTCTGTATAAGTTTTAAACTTGGAAAAAGAATTTAATATATAGAGAATTGAATTATAGAATTTAAAGTAAAGATTGTGTGGGAGGTACAGTATAGAGGAGCAAGAACAAGTATAGTGAACAAATTTATTCTCCCGTCTCTAAAACAAGCATTAAAAACAGTATTTATCTTATTAGTAGCATTATAATATGAATATATAATATAGTTTTTCGCATATTGTAAGCACCCAGATTTTAGCTGCTGCTGTTATTTTTATCAAGAGAAGAAGTTACACTTATTTTGGTACATTTCTTAAAAAATTAAATTAATTTATAGGGGAAAATAGGAATAAGTTCCATGGGCAAATAGGTTAACAAAGTTAGGACTCTTACACTAGAAAGACAAACACTTGGAGCTGGCATAATTAAAACATGAAAATTCTTAAAAGTATGAAGAGGGTCACAATATAATTATTGCATAAGCTCACAAATATTGGAACTTTGTCCTGACTATTAAAATTTATTAATTTGTTATGATTAAAATGGCACATAACAAGCTGGGCATGATGGCACATACCTGTAATCCCAGAGACCAAAGACTAAAGCTGGAGGTTCACAAGTTCAAAGCCAGTTTGAGCAATTTAGGAAGGCCCTAGGTAACTTAGTGAGACCCTATATCAAAGAAAAGCGGTGGCAAGGCTGTGGAGGTGGGGTTGGGGATGTGGCCCAATGGTTAAGTGCTCCTGGATTCAATACCTGGTACCGCAAAACAAAACAAAATACAACACACACACACACACAACAGATGCTCAAAAATATCAAATAGTTGAATGAATGAAAATAGTGCTTTAAACATGKTACAACTTTTTATCCTAAGTAACAAAAGAAAATGAAAGGCTCCTATAGATAACAAATGTAAATGCACATACTGTCCATTGATGGTTTTCTCTTTGGGGGTGGAGAGGCTTATTGTTGAATGATGCTTGATTGTTTTTTTTTTCTTTAAGAAATGTCAGGATGTTTTAGATTAAATTGCTGATATGTTGTGGTTTATGTTGAAAAAGATAAATGTGTCTTCTTGGAAGTTATTGATAGATGACCCTTTCAGAGGAAGATAGTTGATTCATATGGCAATCCCAAATTTTTAAATGTATGCTTTGTATGTATTTTTTACATATGTTCCTGGATTTGTATTCAGAAATAGAACAAAATGTTTATCTTTTATATTATATAGCTTTGGGTAAATTAATGATTTCATCAGAAAGCTTTAAAAAATTCTAATAATCTCTCTTCTCCTCTCCTTTTTGTTTTTGAGGAGTTTCAAAAAGCTAATGTATCTAGTAGCCACATCCTGAACAACGTTTGAAAAATAAAAGCAGTTCTTTTCACAGGAAAGAGAAATGTACTTTTCTTTTTGTTTGTTTTATTTGCCTCATGCATATTAAGGAAGTGTTCCACACAAAGTTACATCCACCCCCTGCCCCCACCAGTGTGTGTGTGTGTGTGTGTGTGTCTGTCTGTCTCTCTCTCTCTCTCTCTCTCTCTCTCTCTCTCTCTCTCTCACACACACACACACACACACACACACACACACACACGTGAAAACCGGGGTAGGCACAGGCTCACAGCTGAGCTACATCTCCAGCACTTTTTAATTTTATTTTGAGACAGGGTCTTACTGGGGTTACAGGTGTACACTACCATATCCAACCTGTTATTTGTTTATTTATTTTTGCTGTATAGAAACATTGTTTATTCAAATTGCAGGAAGCATGGCAGCAGCAGGTGAGTACGGATAGCCAGGCAGGAGCTGACAGGTTAACACTGCTTCCTTTATGTTCCCCGAAATCCTGCTTTTAGATGGCCTGTTATTTCTAAATGTACATATTTTCTTCCTTCTTGCTTAAGTCCAATAAGACTCAGGCTAACTCTTCTGCTTTCACCATGCTTAATGATTTTCATCTTTGGCTCAGTCATTTTATGTGTAGGACTTAACATTTCTTATCCCTAGTAATTAGTTCCTTTATTTTTAAAAAATGTATTCCACTCACTTTAATAAGGACAGAATTCAATAAAATTTTCAAATAAGTGTCCAAACAAGCTGTGATATACAGGCAACGGAGGAAAAAAAAACTATAAAACTATTGCTTAGAGTATATTAAAATTACTCAGATATGAATTTAGCCAAATGAAAGGCAGTTTGTACCGAAGTAAAAAATATAAAAAGTAAAGACTGCCTATTATGGTTTTATGTTGGCATTTTATTTGTTTATATTGATGGGATTGCTTTTGTCCCATTTTGTAAGTTATCAAAACTTCCACAACCATTATGGGTGCTCATACCTATTTCTAAAACCAATGGCTATTTTTAAAATTGGATCTAGGGACTGGAGATATTTGGGGTGTTGCTCAGTGGTAGAACACATGCTTAAATTGTAAGAAGCCTTGGGTTCGATCCCCAGCGGCACCTGCCCTCCCCCCCACCCCGCCAAAAAAAGAAAACAAGATTGAAAATGTTTTAATGTTCTTTTTACTGTATACACTAAGAAACTGTTATGAGAGGAAGTTATGGAAGGAGGGAGAATATCAGAACCCACATTTGAAGTGTTTTAAGTGAAAACAAACAAATGCTTTCAAGTTTGATGCCTGCCCTTTCAAAGGGTGATAATAGGTTCCCATCTTTGCACATTATTCAAGGAAAATATTAATATTAAATAGTACTAATGGGCCAAATTTGACACTAGCCAGCAGTCCTTGGTGTATTAGATGTTTGTATATCGCATTCATGTCCTAGTGATTAAAGGAGATTTTTCTCCAGCTTAATGAACTGACCTTTTATAAGCTTGATTTAAATTTCCTAAATATTAAATTCATTCTTTGTCTCTATACATAGCTTGTTTGGACCAAATTTAAGTGGTAGATCTGCTGAAACATAAGTTGTACACTTTGACAAAGTTTTGACTTTAATTTCTTGATTAAGTGCCCAGTTGAATTTCTGTAACAGTTGATGACTCAAAGACATAGGATAAGTTGATAACCTAATGATGCATTTCTCTTATTCAGGATAAAAGAAGTAAATGAGACTAACAAACGAGTAGAACAGGAAATTAAAGTGGCCATTTTCACCCTTATCAATGAAATTAATAAGAAAGGAAAATCTCTCTTACAGCAGCTAGAGGTATGGTTCAAAGCCAAAATAAAACAAAAACTGCTTCTCTTGCTCTTCAGCTGTTTTTAATGTTTATTGAAAACTCTTTTTAAATGGTTGGGGATATGGAAGTAAAGTAAAATTTAAAAAWTTTTTTAAAATTTTCTATTGGGAAAGAGACCTTTTTTCTAGWTAATTACTTGCGGCCCAATTTGATAACATTAGTTTTAGCTGTATACATAAAGTTAGTGATATCCTCCCTGGGAATGAAAAAAAAAAATTATTGAAATGTGATTTAAGTGAAGACAAAGCAGGCCTGTCACATTTTTTTCATTTAAATGCATGTTGGGCTTCTGCTTGAGCCATTTGTGTATTTCACCTTATTTTAAAATATTTCCATAGTTTTGCCAAACATGCTGCTTATGTTGAAATTTATAAATTTTCAATATTGATATTTTTATGGTGTTAGGTTTTTGTGTTACATATTTTTAGATGATTATGTAGGTGTTAATTTCTAGAGGTGTACCTAGTTATTTTTGTTAAATTCAAATTAATTTTAAATCAGTGACTTTATTGCCTACAGGTCTCAACATTTCAAATGTGAATTTTCTGAGAAATTGAATTTCTCAGAAAAGAAACTTCTCACCTTGAAATTTCCTGTTTGAAATTTTGTGCTCTTAATTAAGTAGGCTCAAATAATATGGGGTTATGTTCTTTACACCATTGAATATTAATTTAAGCTATGTATTGATTAAGTAACTTTCATTTATCTCAGATTGCCCTTAAATTTTTTTCCATTCAATTTCTGCTTAGAACTCTTAAGAAATTAGAAACATTAGTTACATGCAAATAAAAGAAATTATGTGAACAAAATATTATCTCTGAATTTCTGTCTTTTAAATACATCTTTCCATTGAAACACAATTGTGAAATTAAAAGTATTCTTGCCCATATCATTGAAATTGGGGGTCTCTTTCCTGTTGTACATCTGGTTAGTTGCTTTCAACCCTAACAGATGGTTCTTACCTTCCTGCAGAGGACCGTGTGAATGGAGAGCATTTAGCAGTAACTATTTTTGATACAGGTTAATGTATTATAAATAAATTTTAGCTATACATCCAAGAAGACATTTTAAAAACCATTTCAAGGGCTTCAGAATTAAAAGATGCCTCTTAAGGATAAAGTGTATGTATGTAAATACCTAATAATGAATATGCCATATACTCCTAACATGATAATAATTTYAAAATTTCTAGTGTAATATGTTCCTACACTTTGTAAAAGAGAGGTTTTCCTAAGCTTTATAAAAGTAATGATTTCTAGTGAGGTTGTAAATCAAATTTGTCAGTTGGATACTTTTATTCATTGATTTTCATTATAAAATTAGACACTTATTTCCTTAGTCAAAAATATTATGCAATAAATTAAGTTGAATAATTTTGGTGGGAGAAAAGATAAAGAAATAAGTAGGTAGGTTGTTTGAAAGGCTGAATGTCAGAATATATCAGATATTACCCATTCCTTCAAGGGATTTCAGTTTCTGTTAAGTAGTTTATTTTTCCTTTGCAGGGRTTTCTGAAATTGGTTTTTCTAGTTTGGTCAGTCTTCACTTCTTTGTTCTTTTTTTTGTTGTTTGTTTTTAAAGAGAGAGTGAGAGAGAGAGAGACTATTTTTTAATATTTATTTTTTAGTTTTCGGCGGACACAACATCTTTGTATGTGGTGCTGAGGATCGAACCCGGGCCGCTCGAGTGCCAGGCGATCGCACTACCGCTTGAGCCACATCCCTAGCGCCTCTTTGTTCTTTTTAAATTTGTCATGTCAAAAGTTTTCCTGAGTTGGTGTTGTGGCTCAGTGGTAGAGCGCTTGCCTAACAAGTGTGAGGCACTGGGTTCCATCTCAGCATTACAGAAAAATAAATAAATAAAATAAAGATATTGTGTCCATCTACAACTAAAAAACGTATATTAAAATTTAAAAAACACTTTTTAAAAAGTTTTCCTAATTCTACCCTTAGAGCTCTGGAATTTATCTTTTTGTTTTAGACTAAGTTAATATAAAGTTTTCACTAATTTAATTTGAGCTGAAGAAATTTTAACTTCAGCATCATGCCACACCAGTAAAAATATTTTTGGTAGTTTAGAAAGTCAATTCTAGGGCTGGGATTGTGGCTCAGTGGTAGAGTGCTCACCTAGTACGGGTGGGACCCGGGTTCGATTCTCAGCACCACATAAAAATAAAGGCATTATGTTGTGTCTATCTACAAAAGAGATTCATAAAAAAAAAAAAGTTTCTAAAGTATTTCTAAAGGTCAGCTTATAATTTCATATTGTATATTGGATTAACCTAATAGGAAGACACCATTTTAACAGACATTTTATATCCTGTAAGAAAAAAAAACCAACATCAACTAACATTAATTTCTATTTATAGATTCTTTTAGCTTAGTAAACTCAAGTTATAGTCCCACTTTTGTTACTGATCTTTCCTCTTACGGATCATAGGCTCATTAAATAAGCATGAGCTTGTCCAGTTATCTTATTTTTAAAGTAAACATASGTGTTGTGTACATATGATTTTTATATATGATTTTTATTCTTCAGTAAAGCTCTTGTTTTTTTTTCCAGAATGTTACAAAAGAAAGACAGATGAAGCTACTACAGCAGCAGAATGACATCACAGGCCTCTCTAGGCAGGTGAAGCATGTTATGAACTTTACTAACTGGGCAATTGCTAGTGGCAGCAGCACAGCACTACTGTACAGCAAGCGACTGGTAAGACATAAAATATCTTTATTTCTCTTTAATCAACTTTATTAAGGTATTATTTAACTAACTTCAACTGTTTAAAGTATCAGCTTGAATTTTGGCAAGTGTAACTCCCCCACATCAAGATATAAAAAGTTTTCATTGTGTCCTTGTCCCTTCTACCCCTGACCCTAGGCAAACACTAATCTGATTGCCCTCCTCTTCTAGAATTTGATATAAATGAAATCAGACTGTATTTATTCTTTTTAGATACCTAGTACCTTAATATAATTTATTGTCAGAGATGGCAGAAGAAGTATATACATTTTATTTGAGAGCTAATTTAAATATTGACACTGTCTCATCTGAGATTTGACATAATTGGGCTGTGTGATGACTTTTTTCTATGTTTCTGTCTTGTATGTATAAGACTAATATGAATTTTTTCCCTCTAAGATTACTTTTCAATTGCGTCATATTTTGAAAGCACGATGTGATCCTGTTCCTGCTGCTAATGGAGCAATACGTTTCCATTGTGATCCTACCTTCTGGGCAAAGAATGTAGTCAATTTAGGTGAGAAATCGTTTTATGAGTATAACTTTTAAATACCAAATTGAGAGAAGAAAACATGTCAAGCAAGTTTTAGATGAAGTTTTTAACCTTAAAATGCGAAAGACTTGGAATATATTTATTCATTGRAAACTCTACTTATGGTTTGTGTTGCTATTTCATTACATCTTAATACTTAAGAGTTTGTCAATATGGGGGGTTTTTGTTTGTTTTGTTTTGATGATGAGGATTAAATGCTGGTCCTTGAGTTCTACCACTGAATTACACCCCAGTCCCTGTAGTGGTGTTTTTTAATGTGTACCACTTCTAGTGTTTCATTTTACATCTTTTAAAGTTAATATTGATTGTTTTATGTAGACATCTTAGCAAATGATTATTCATTCTCTGGAAGAATTTTGTAGATACTTAGTAATTAAATAATGCCAAATAATGCACTATAGAAGGACCTTCAAAAAGCTTCTATATCCAGTAGTCATGTCCTGAGGAATGTCTGAAACACAAAAGCAGCTCTTTTCACACAGATGAAAAATGGACTTTGCTTTTGTTACTCCACACTGTGGACCTAAAGACCATGGGTGAAAAATTACAGAGAAAGAGAAAAACAGCTCTAATTTAAAAATGGTGGTGGGTGAAAGAGGGTTACAGGTGTGGCAGATAGCAATTCTACCCAGAGAATTTCTCAGAGACTAGGAGTTTGAGGTCAACTTGGGCAGCATAGTGAGACCCTGTCTTAAATAAAAAGTTGCCCATCAGTTAGAAATGTCTAACCGAACGAATAACTACACTTTCAGAATAGACAAGTCCTTAACATTGGGAATGGTTAAAGTAGAGTTTTCATGGGTTTCTGTTTAAAAATGGTAATCTTTGGGTTAAAAAATATCTATATATTCAAATTTGTCTATAATTTTTTTTAAAATAGTAATCTTTGGGTTAAAAATTATATACAAATTTGTCTATAATTTTTGTTAAAAACAAGCAAAATCAGAATCTGTGTGGCAGGTTTTTATGTGGCCTGACAACTTCTGCCCTAAATCACACATAGCTAAAATTTGCCTTCTAACTCTAGAAAGTAATAGCTCTAATTTTATTGAGGATTTTTGCAACTACGTTCATTAGAGATATTGGTCTGTAGTTTTCTTTCTTTGAAGTGTCTTTGTCTGGTTTCGGAATCTGGGTGATGTTGGCCTCATAGAATGAATATGGAAGAGCTCCCTCTTATTTCTATTTCCTGAAATAACATGAAAAGTATTGGTATTAAAGTTGGCTTCGATCTACATATKGTGGGGTCGGGCTCCAGATTCCTTAATAGGACACCCATAGCACAAGAGTTAACAACAAGAATCAACAAATGGGACTTATTTAAACTAAAAATTTTTTTCTCAGCAAGAGAAACAATAAGAGAGGTAAATAGGGAACCTACATCCTGGGAACAAATTTTTACTCCTCACACTTCAGATAGAGCCCTAATATCCAGAGTATACAAAGAACTCAAAAAATTAAACAATAAGATAACAAATAACCCAATCAACAAATGGGCCAAGGACCTGAACAGACACTTCTCAGAGGAGGACATACAATCAATCAACAAATACATGAAAAAATGCTCACCATCTCTAGCAGTCAGAGAAATGCAAATCAAAACCACCCTAAGATACCATTTCACTCCAGTAAGATTGGCAGCCATTATGAAGTCAAACAACAACAAGTGCTGGCGAGAATGTGGGGAAAAGGGTACTCTTGTACATTGCTGGTGGGGCTGCAAATTGGTGCGGCCAATTTGGAAAGCAGTATGGAGACTCCTTGGAAAGCTGGGAAATGGAACCACCATTTGACCCAGCTATTCCCCCTTCTTGGACTATTCCCAAAAGACCTTAAAAGAGCATATTATAGGGATACTGCTGCAACAATGTTCATAGCAGCACAATTCACAATAGCTAGACTGTGGAACCAACCTAGATGCCCTTCAATAGATGAATGGATAAAAAAAAATGTGGCATTTATACACAATGGAGTATTACTCTGCACTAAAAAATGACAAAATCATGGAATTTGCAGGGAAATGGATGGCACTAGAGCAGATTATGCTCAGTGAAGCTAGCCAATCCCTAAAAAACAAATGCCAAATGTCTTCTTTGATATAAGGAGAGCAACTAAGAACAGAATAGGGAGGAAGAGCATGAGAAGAAGATCACCATTAAACAGGGACGAGAGGGGGGAGGGAAAGAGAGAGAGAAGGGAAATTGCATGGTAAAGGAAGGAGACCCTCATTGTTATACAAAATTACATATAAGAGGAAGTGAGGGGAAAAGGACAAGAAAACAAGAGAGAGAAATGAATTACAGTAGATGGGGTAGAGAGAGAAGATGGGAGTGGAGGGGAAGGGAGGGGAGGGGGGATAGTAGAAGATAGGAAAGGCAGCAGAATACAACATACACTAGTATGGCAGTATGTAAACAAGTGGATGTGTAACTGATGTGAATCTGCAATMTGTATATGGGGTAAAAATGGGAGTTCATAATCCGTTTGAATCAAATGTATGAGATATGAAATGTCAAGAGCTTTGTAATGTTTTGAACAACTAATAAAAAATAGAAATAAAAAAAACAACTAAAAAAAAAAAGTAATAGCTCTGGGAAAATCCGGGAAAATGGTCACTTCTAATGTTATAAATGGTTCAAACCGTGCAATATTTCCATAGAACACAGTTTTGTARCCATATAGTACTTTGTCCTTCATATATCAGCAATTCAAAAACTTAAGGAATTTAGTATCTTTTTTAAAAAACTATTTTTAATTGTAGATGGACACAATACCTTTATTTTATTTGTTTATATTTATGTGGTGTAAGGGATGTCTCATGCATGCTAGGCAAGCACTCCACCACTGAGCCACAACCCCTGCCCTGGAATTAGTATCTTTTGAGTCTTATCATGAAGAGATATTTAAGCTTGGCACAGTGATGTACTCTTGTAATCCCAGCAACTCAGGAGACTGAGGCAGGAGGATTGCAAGTTCAAGACCAACCTCAGCAACTCAGTGAGATTCAACATAAAACAGGTTGAGGATGTGGTTCAGTGGTTAGGATACCATGGTTCAATCTCCAGTATCAGAGAGAGAGAGAGAGATAAATATGAATTAGACAGTCTATATGGGCATGTCACTCAGCTCTTTAATTTTCTATACAACCTGTATAAACAAAGAATAAGAGCAGATTATATATTCTGATTACTTAAAAGTTGTTTGGGAGGAGGGTTTCACAATGTTAGGTTTCTGATCATCTTCTTTCCCATCCACCTCCTCTCCTACCCCCTCCTCCAGCTCCCATCCCTGGTATACCCGCGTACTAGAAGCTTTGCAGTGCGGAGAGTTGTCAGAAAAGGAAGAGAATATAGTGAATAATCTGCGAAGTAGTTGATTATATGCAAATTCTTTTTATTTTTTTAAATCCTCAGGTAATCTAGTAATAGAGAGTAAACCAGCTCCTGGTTATACTCCTAATGTTGTAGTTGGGCAAGTTCCTCCAGGAACAAACCACATTAGTAAAACCCCTGGACAGATTAATTTAGCACAGCTTCGACTCCAGCACATGCAACAACAAGTATATGCTCAGAAACATCAGCAGTTGCAACAGATGAGGATGCAGCAACCACCAGCTCCTGTACCAACAACAACAACAACAACACAACAGCATCCTAGACAAGCAGCTCCTCAGATGTTACAACAACAGGTGAGTATTGTATCACTACATTATTGATACACATAATGAACAAATCAAGACTATTCTTTATCTTATATAAATGAGTCATACATTCAAAGTTACTAGCAGGAATAGAGTTCAAAGGTCAGATTATTTGCTCTGGTTGTGATAGGACTGCAGGGGAAGTGTGAAGAAGAAAAACTATAGATAAATAACTTACCATGGGAAATAAAATGAACTTCTTATTACTCCAAAAGTGCTGAGGCTCTTGTCTTCCACACAGGATCTTTTTTGTTTTTCACATGGTTGTGGGACAAAGAACCACATTGTCTAAGCTCTGATATGTTCCTTACSCATTTTTTTTTTTTCAWATCAGTCCCATCTCTTTGTCTTTCTTGATCTTTCTGCCCCTCACACTCAAAACTGTTACTTCTGAGTGAGATAAGTTAGTGTGCTTTAATTACACACACACACACACACAC